AGTAGCTTGGTAGATGTATTCTTATTTTAAGAGTTGATGTTGCCGTATTACTAAGTGTTGCATCATCGTTTCATGTATGTAGATAACGAGTTGGTAGAGTTCGAGACCACGGGCGAGCCGAAGTACGAGGAGATAATCGGGGAGTACGAGGAGGAGATCCTCATCCAGGAGGGAGCCCCGGAGCCACCAGTTGCTGACTTTGCTGACACCACGCCTGCCCAAGACAAGCCCCGGTGCATAACCCTTATTTTGAATAATCACTGGATATATATATATATATGTGTGTGTGTGATGTGCTTTTACGTTACAGGAATTTTATGGAAACTACATGCATATATAACCTACCTATGAGTCCTACTAGCATAGGTCATGTAGCTGATATGCTTAGGATTTTCGGTAGCGTGAGTAACCTGTTGTTACTCACAATAGGTGATTATTATTATCACTCTTATGATAAAAAGGTGAAAGGAAAAATAGAGACCGGGCAGGGATATGGTATGGGTATTGATTGGTGTAAGAGGTTGTGTTCCGCGGCCAACGGGGCATAGCTTGATTACACTTTTTTTCCTGGCCGTGTCGGTTAAGGACCGGCCTTCACATTGGATTCTAGTTAGGTCACAGACTTATTATGCTGAGCACATACTTGTTTATGGCAGCAAGGAAGGCTCGTTGCTCTCTTATCGTGGGTTCTGGGGCTCAGGTGTGGGGGCTTGGAGTCCAAGTTTGGACGGGGACTTGGACCCCTTGACAGGAGAATGATGGGTTGATCCTGCTTGTACCTGGGGTACAAGTGGGGAGTGTATTCGGGGTACCCAGCTGGGCACATTGATTCGTGAATCATCGGGTAATCCGGTACGACTTGTCTATAATCTAGCACTGTAGTAAGAACTAAAAGAGGAAAGATGGTGAAATGGATCTATTTGCTCAACTCTTGCTTAAAAGTAGAACAGGTGCTTACCTAGAATGGTTAGATAATGAACTAATCATGACTGCTAATAAGAAACATACATAAGGATTCATTACTAGTATTGCTTTCCGCAAAAAGAAAACCCAGCAAACCATAAAGCTTATCATACCATTTGGAGTCGGGAAATTATTTCCACTAGTCGGGTAAGTCTTGAGAGTATATTGTGTACTCAGGGTTTATTTACCCTTGTTGCAGGTGCAGCTTGAGTAGTAGCTGTTGTGTGAAGGATTCTTCTGGTAGGCACAGACAGATCCTTGTATATTATCGATAGATATTTATGGTAATTCCACTGTTTAAATTCCGTACTCTGAACTTGGTATTGTAATAATGTATTTCTAAGAACTCTGGTTGTATGAAATATACTAAGTATTGTAAACTCGTTCTCGTTATTAGATCCTGGAATAAAAACGTGAATTATTCGAGTTCTCTCTTAAGGTGTGCTCGACGGAATCCGCCCGATGTAGCTTTTCGGGATGCTTAGTGTCTGGTGGACGATGAGCGCCTCCGAAGATATGTTATTTTGAACGGTTCTGCCACAACAACACACCTCATCTGTAAGCATGTCATGACCTGTAAGCACGTAGAAATATAGCTAAATCTAGAATTTATGACCGTGGCTAAGTCTGATTTTTTACCGTGGCTAAGTTCAAACTTGACGAGACTTATTTTGTTGTCATCTCCTCACTGAGTATTCAAACTCGTAGGCATCAAATTGAGTTGCTATACAAATTTGGAAGATAAAATGTCGCAAACATGTCAATTCACTACCAGCGATAAGGGAATTAGAAAGATTTAGAGGGGCCAAAACAGCGTCACAATTCGGCCATGTTAAAGACTGATTTAGGTTTAGGTCAAAAGCAAAGTTTGTTGTACTCAACTCAAACTACAACTTCTATTAAAAGTCAAACTTCATATCTAGAAAAGAAACTATAGTTTTACCTTGGTCAAAACAACATCATGAAAAAAGAAGTTAACTATTGATCCAACACTTAGAAGCATTTTTAGGCTAGTTAATGAACATAAACCCTAGATCATTTTTTATCTTAAGTATTTCTAGATTGTTTGAAGTGATCAAACAACAAGTCACTGTAAAAAATCTAGAGTTAGCCACATTTCTCAATATCCAAGTCATGGTAAAAATTAAAATTTATCAATTTTCATAGCTCGGCGCCAAGATCCACGACGCCGAGCGCATGCCACGTCCCGAAGAAAATGACCCTGGACCTCGGCGCCAAAGCAATTGGCGCTGAGACGTGTAAGCTCGACGCCAATTGTTACGGCGCTGAGGTCAGGGTCTATTTTTTGAAAGGATACTGCCAGGAACGTATTTATGAAAATCTTTTAAAAAAAAGGCTGAAAAACAAAAAATTCGGACAGCACGAGCATCTGGCGGTTCCCTCTAGTGACAGCGAGGGCCGTGGGAGTGGGAGGAGGGGACAGTGGCAGCTAGGGTTGTAGTCGCCTGTACGGGGTGCTACAAGGTGCCTTTGTCGACTATGTTGTTAGTTGTTACAAAATGTGTATATAATGTATATCATTATTCCTTGGATCTTCTTTTCTGGTATCTTCCTCGATCCTTTTGTAACCACTCTGGTATACTTTTCTTTGTTTCACCATTTTGCTGTGCATGCAGCACGCTTGCCCTTGCTCTTGTTCTTTCACCATGGTAATTTTTACTTCAAAATTAGCAGCACCGTTTGCATAAAGGATAGTGTGCAAGAGTAAGAAACTCCCGTTGTGGCGGACAGTACGAAGTGGGACGCTGGACACGATGTTGAAGCCACAAGAGTAGCTGTAATATACTTTGTCGAGCATCGGCAGGTTAAAAGATTACTACTACGCTGCTTTTACTTTTAATCCCAAGTTGCGGCGTAAACCAAGCTGGGTTAATTTAGTTGTCGTTTGGATTCGGATTCGACGGAGATTCTATGAATTCAGCGTCCACTATTGTCTAGGCTCATCTAGATTCTGAGATCTTTAAAATTCGTGTGTTGGATTTTTTTTGTTTGTTTGTATCAGTCACTCCGTCAAAAATAAAAAGACAGTAATAATAAAATCTAAAACAATCCAAACGGGCCAGTCTAACGCTAGTGAAAGCTGCGCCTCCGCACCTCTGCTTTACCGCACCGCACCTCCCGAGTTCAAAATTCACAGAACGTCTCCCAGGTCCGACCAACGCTCACAGCGAAGTACTGTACCTGTACTACTGGGAACCCCAGCCAGCGTGCTGCGTGCATGTCACTGTCCCCCCCTGCTTCCATCAAAGCTGCGCTCAGTCTTTTGCCGACCATTTGAAATCAACGGTCGCGACACGACGACGAGCAGCCACGGCCGGCGCAGGAGGACGCCAGGACCACCGGCACGCCGGACACACGCGTGACAGCCTGAGAGGAGAGCGCGCGGGGGCTCGGTCACGCGTCGCTGTTCCGCCACAGGCCGTGGCTCCGCTTTCCGCGACGCCGCGCGGCACAGGGCAGCGCGCACGCCGCCGCATTGAATCGAGGGGGCGCGCCGGCCGCAGACCCGCAGTCCCCATTCCCCAACGCCGCCCAAACCTGTCGCTCTCAGCGCTCACATGACATGGAGGCTAGCGCAGTGCGCAGGGCGAGCGCAGTGGGAACGCGCTGCGCCCTGGCGCCCTGAACGCGCGCAGCCGCCAGCCGCCAGCCGCCGCACAGGCACATGCGGCGGCAGCGGCAGTGGAGGAGCAGGGCGGGCGCCGGGCAGGGATACGACCGCGTGGCGTGGCTCCCGAGGCCGGCCGGCCGGCCGCGCGCGTGTGCGTGCGCTCGCTTTGCCTCCGCGGCCCGCACGGCATTGGAACAAGGCTGCTCTTTTCCGAAGTGCATGCATGACTGCACGAGCATTACCCCACCAACAATTTCACTCATGGCTTCAAAAGCGAAGGGTTGAAAAGAAGACGGTAAAATCATGAGATGAGCACAAATCGTGACGGGTGATTAAACAAGGGGGGCGAAATGGTGAATAGACTCTGAACAGAATACGTCCGGGGTACGTGCAAGAGCGGAGACTTGTACTAGATCTCTCACAAAATTATACTGGTACGGCAGCACGATACCTGGAAGGCTGGAATCTGACCGTTTGCTACTGGAAATGAGTCGGCAGATGAGATCTAGATTGGCGGGAGACATCGGCATCCACCTTGACACCCAGAGAATGGACAAAAGTACAGTTTGCTTATCAAAAGATTGAAAAAACAAAACCACTACTACTGCGAGTAGCCGAGTACGGTCCCGGCACACGGGTTTCTTCCTCGTCCCATAGAACACGAATATCTGCTGTAAATTCCCTGCTAATTACAGTGACATTGCTGTATTTTTACCTCTTTTATCCGGTACCGTTATCACGAAGATACTCCTACGACGAGGATACATGACATTTCTTGCAACGTCAATCAATGTAGGTAGCCGTTAGTAGTACTCCTACTGCCCACTTCCAAGCATTTAATTACATCCTCGCATGACACGATCGTGGTGTTAACTTTTCGTACAGTTTTTACTACTTGATTAAAGTACAAGTATTATTTTTCTTGTATAGTGAAAAAGTCAAGAAAAAGAGCAACTTTTCTCTAATCTAAGAAAAGAAAATGGCAGCAACCGGTCCGGTGGCAAGTGCCTCCCAGCGGCGGCTGGGCTGATGTGACCATGCTGCCACGGCTGCGGTGACGGCGGCGGGAGGTAGGTCAGTCCGTCAGTCATCAGTCAGGGGCGCGCCCCCACCGACTGCGCGAGCCGCTCGACCTTGACGGCGATCTCCGGCGGCACCCGCACGGCGGGGCGCGGCCGCTCCTTGCAATGGCGGAGGTCCAGCCCCAGCGCGTCCGACACGTCCTCGGAGCTCCACCCGGCCCGCCGGAGCGAGTCGGAGCACCGGTCGGCCTTGAGCAGGAGCGCGTCGAGCACCGCGTCTGAGTCAACCGCGGCGGGGGCGGCCTCCTCGCCGTCGAACACACCCCCGGAGGCCGCCACCTCGACCATCTCCGTCACCTCCGTGTCCCTCCACCCGCCCTGCCTCAGCACGTGGCCCAGCCGGTCAAGGTAGCTGTCCACCCAGTGCGGGTTCCTGGACCGCCTGGCCGGCGGCGGCGGCGACGCGCACCGGAGGACCGCGACGACGCGGTGGACGCCTCCGACGAGGACGAGTCGCGGCGGCGGCGGTCGGACGCCGCGTCGCTCCAGAACTCGATCCAGCGCGGCGCCTTGCCGCCGCACGCCGCGTCGAGGCTGCGGCGCGTGCACGGCGTTGTCGCGGCGGCCTCGCCGGCGTGCTGCTGCTGCGGCGCCAGCGGTGTCGGCACCGCCCGCGGGTCCAGCGGCTGGAAGCAGGCGTCGCGGGTGAAGAAGTGGAGGATGTCGAGGCCGACGCAGAGGACGCGGTCGTCGGTGACGAAGAACACCGGGTTGCCCGCGAGGCAGGGGCGGCAGGGCAGGAAGCAGCGGTCGAAGAGCGGCACGAGCAGCGGCGCGCGTCGGATGGCGGAGCGCGCGAGCCGCAGCGCGCGGTCCGGGTCGGCGGGGCGCGCTCCCCAGCACCGGGGCCACAGCGCTCCGCGCGCGATCTGCAGCGACGCCGCCGCGATGGGGAGGTCGAACGCTGAGCGGAGCCCGGAGCGGGAGCGCCAGTCGGGGAACCCGGGCCCCGACGGGAGGCCCGCGGCGAGGACGGCGCGGAGGTCGGGCGGGAACGCGAACCCGAGCTCGGCCTCGGCGCGCGCCAGCTCCAGCTCCGTGAGGCCCGGGAGCACGGTGGCCACCCCGGGGCAGGCCCGGAGGTGCTCCAGCACCGCGGCGGCCAGCGGAGCGAAGGAGTGCAGCCCGTGCTGCCGCGGGGAGGCCGCCGACGCCGAGGAGGAAGGACGCGCCGCGGCGCGCGTGGACAGGCGGCGCAGCCCCGCCGCGTGCGCCGCCGGGGTGAGGCTGAGGCCGGCCATCCGTCGGTCCACGTCCACCATTGCAGCAGCCGCCGCTGCCCAACGCCGCCGCCGCCAAGCCTCCTCCTGCCTTGGACAGAGGAGGAAGCGCGGAGATGAGCCGAGGTGGTCTGCTTGGGTAACGACGACAGCCGGAGGAGGAGCGAGTGAATGCGCTGCTGTAGCTAGAGGCCGGTTGGGAGACGGGGAGGCGGGATTATATAGTGGTGAGGCGGCCATTGCCCGTCGGCGTCCGGAAGGGGGCGGGCGGGCCCCGCGGCAGAGATCTCTGGCTGGGTCACCTAGTAGGGCTGGGGAGGTGGGGAGCAACGGCAACACGAGGGAGGTGTACTGGTAACTGGTGTGTGGCGGTCCATTCATCGTCGCTCTTGAGTTGGCGTCTCTCGCTTCATCTTCTGTTCTCTCCGCCGATCCGCCCTCGCACGCAGGTCGTATCGAAGGATGTGTGAGCAAAATTTGTCTGCGGACGGGTCACTTTCCGCGTACTTGCTCTCATCCTGAATCGGATCCAATGTGTACGAATGTAACTTACACTGAATTTATTTTCATTTTTTTATAAATCGGAATAAGATATGAATAATATAGGATACCGAAACGAATATGAATTTGTCTCAGTTAAAAACACGAATAAATGTGTTTCGAATATAGGTTGAGCCGGATTTAAACAATGTCAATCACAAACATGTATATATCGCATGTTTTAAATTCTTAAAGACACTTATTAAAATACCAAAAAACTGTAAATTCACTATAACACATTTTAGTCAATAGGCTCAAATTGTGGTTAAATTTAAAAATCTCTGGCAAAGAAAAAAAATACATTAACTAGATATGTGTATTTCCCGAATTTACTTTAAGTAATATTTTACAACTTGTTTGGTATGCGTCGTGAGGCCATGCGGAATCATCCGATCCTGGTACCGAAGCTAGCCCAGGAGTTTGGATATGCCTACCGAGACGGACATGAGGTTCCACCAGAATTCACCGGATGAATCCATGCTACACCATTCCATGCTGCATGACTTGGGTCTCCAAACCAAACACGTTGTGTGAAGCTCATACTTCTATATAGTATACTTTAGAAGAAAAAAAAGGTAATAACTATACTTCGTTTATTCCCTTTAGACTGAAATTGTTTTAGCTTGCTGTCCATTCCAAAAGATATCTGATAGAACTATCCAAATTTAATAACCGACTTACCAATCCGGATTATCCGTCCGATTGGTTATCCGATGCATATATATTCATATTCGATATCTGAGAAAAATGTTTATAGGCATAAAAAAAAGTTTAGAATTGTTATCTCATCCTAACGGTCAAGAAAGATCCATACCGTTTACGCCCTCCCAAACAAATTTGCATGTGGTTCCGTTGAAGTTCGTTCTTCGTTGAGCATATTTGCATGCGCCCTGTTCCTACGCCCCACTGCATATTTGCATGTGGTTGGCGCGCCTACGGCAGAGGAGAGCCTCGTGCAGATAGAACAGAACCGCTTGAATGTGCCTGGGCGGCTGCAACATGCAACATGCAACATCATTGTTATTCTAATTTATTCATGCTTAGCCGTTGTTGAGTTGCCTGCGATGGTCTTCTCTTCTGCAGCACAACTTGAACAGTTCAGGAAATTGACAGGAAAATCGTTTTGCATCGACGAGAAGACGACGCCTACGGCCATGTGTGCAGTGGCCAATTTTCAAAGGAGATCTAATGTTGGCGGAAAAAAGATGAGGTCTGGTATTAATTAATTTTAGACCTGTGGAGCCTTTAAAACTTGACCGACGTTAAACATAGTATAGGACGGGAGTGGCCTACAACACTCGCCAAAGAAACGCATGAATCCTAACTAAGGTGATGGAAAGCTAGCATGAGTTCTCTTCATGACGGCTGTACGTTTTATTAGTATTTACACAAGTGATGCTCCTCTCTTTGTTTATTATTAAGTAGTATAAAGAGTCTCTTTTATGGCTGCTGTTTTATTTGTACACACTCCTCTTGTTTATAACGGGCACAGTTTGCTACTGTAGCTAACAGCCTCCATAAAAAAAACTGTTGTTTTAGAAATAAATCTTGACAAGCATTTATCCAGATTCATTCCTAAAACAATAATCTTTTTGATAGAGGGAATGATAATTTATAATGTGATATCCTTCGCTATCTGCGATGACTAGGTCTGGGCTCGACTGAATATACTCCCTCTGTCCCGTTGAGAGAGTCGTTTTAAGACTGGGAGCGAGTACCAAGGAAGGAGCACAGTGGCCTGCATGTCCCTACATCTACCATCACAGAGGACATTAAAGCTTCTGCTTTCTACCATCCAAGTACCTCTAGCACGCCATCTCTCTAGTGCCATTGGAGGAGTGGATGAGGATGACATGAGGTGAGTGGGGCAACGTGACTAGCTGTGGGCCTATGGTGCTCCAGCGACTCTCTTCGTGGGACAACGAAGGAAGGCTAGAATGTCAGTTTTTATGGGAATGAGGGAGTAGGAGTACTATGCAAGTGCTTGTGTGTTTTTTTTTTTGAAGGGGCTTGTGTTCAGTGCTGACGACACTCTTTTCAAACGTGCCATTATCTCTATCAGTGACTTTCGCTACTGGTAGAGTAGTAGAGATTCATGTCAAACTCAAACACCAGTGGGAAGAACCTACCTCTACATGAACCGTTCGGCCTGGACAAGACGGACACCTTCCCGGACTAGCTTATCGGTCAAGATGTATCACTCGATCATCAACCCGCTGAGACTCAGGTACGCGATGGATGGATGGCTGATGGGCACGGTGCACTGCTGCCTCGAGAAAACTTGCAGCTGGGAAGGGCTGAGGATGAGACAAGGAGAAGCTGCTCCTGTGGCAGCTGTGTTATCTCGCCAGCCAGAGCTAGCTTTCACTGCTGCATTTCTCTCCCTGTGATGGCCCGAGCTGAGAGGTCACCGTCCGTCGCCGCGCGCTGTCTGACTTCCGATGCCTAGGGGGAGTTAATTTGTCACGTTTTCTGCTCGTGTGTTATTGCTCCGTTGCTTGCGGCCGCAGCTGCCTAACTGATGAATTGCACAGTGCTTACTTGGACCTCGTTTTCAAATGGAGACTCTCTTCTTCGATATTGTCTGTGTTGCTTTTGCTCGAGTGTCTCCGCCGATGGATTTGTGTCACGTACTGCTGCTGCAATTAGGCCTATTTCCCTATGCCTGACCCTCTCCGCCGTTACAGACAAAATTTGTGAGCTATGATATCTACCAATAATTCCTCAAGACAGCATGCCACCACTACTAGAATAATGCCTTCTATATAGAGAGAGAGGGTGAAAAAACCCTCTTCAAAGGCGACTTGCTCACAGCGACGGAACCAGGAATTATATGTACGAGGGCAACTACAAAGATTTAACTTGTAAAAATCGAGCGCAACTCAACTGGTTAGGTTCCTCACGGTGATCGTGGTCTGAGTTAATTCAATGACTTGACACATACTGGTGCTCGTATTTTCTTATATATGTATCCTACGATTTAAAGCGCTATTCTTTCAGCGTGGTAGGTGACATACTCATTGATAACAAGGCTCTATGATAATTTCGTAAATCTCGAGATCTAACATCCCAGTCTTTCGGATATGTTTATAGGGATGACTTTATTATCTAGTGTCTTTTAGATGTGCTTATATAGGTGATTTTATTATATAGTTGTGCTTTGTATGATTTTACTATCTAAAAGATATTAACAGGTGACAAAAATTGTTATATTCCCTCTCTTAATATACATAAAAATTATAAAGTTATAGATATAAAAAATTGGTGTGATATATGTCAGGGGGGAGGGGGGCCATGGCCCCTGCCAAGTCCCATTGGCTCTGCCACTGGTTGTTGCTCGTCTACCGACCCCGGCAAGAGGTCTCTAATAATCAACAATGGCTCCGTTCGGTTTACTCCATATCCGGCTTGTTCGACTTCTTTTTTTCCAGCCGGAATAGTGTTTTCTCTCACAACATTTCAGCCGAGATTCAGCAAGCCGAACGAGGCCAATAATAGTGTTTTCTCTCACAACAATTTGGTGATCATTTCTTTTTATTGTGAATAGTAGCACAAACACAGACGATCACATACATGCAAAGCACACTCACTCCTGTGAACAAATACTCATCCTACTCCACTATGAGCTCTTTCGAAATACTAACCTGAAAGAATTTTCAAAATTCATGACTCATCATACATGCGCCCCACTGTCGAGTCGCCTGCCACGAGTATGAGCACTTCCTAAATACCAAGCCAGTATATTTTAAGATTCACAGGTCATCACATGTGTCCCACTATAGATAGACACGGTTATATACCATGGGAAGAATAGCCAGCATAGTTAAATCGCCAAATATTGGACCGCCGGCTCTCCACTATGCATAATTCCTGTCTCCCGCTCAACCTTCATTGGACCTAGGCTTGCTGGATAGAGAGATGGAGAGAGATAGAAGCGGAAGAATAAAGGAACCAACCCCGAGACCCCACCTATCTGGATGACGTGTAGAAGGTCGATGGCCGATCATTGTCATAGGAGACCGACAGACCGTGGCAGCCATATCCACCAGATGGAGAGAGAGGAGTGTGGCAAGATCCACCCGCAGCCACCAGATGCCGCTGCCTCCTGGATGGATCTAGCCATGGCCACCGGATCCCGCATCCTCATCAATGGAATGTGAGCGCTGAATCCCGCGTCCTCCTCGATGGATCCGGCTTTTGCAGTACTACTATAGCAGTTTTATTTTAGAGGCTGGCAGAGGTTGATAGGAAACCACCTATGTGAATTAAGATTTCTATAGGGACGATTTAATGCTCATCTCTATAAATGAAATTCAAGAAATAAAAAAAGAACCAGCTGATGAGCCCGCCGTGGAGGTCGCCACAGAGCTCATTGTTGCCCTCGACTAGGCAGCCGCCGCCTGGCTTCCAGTCAGTGGCGTGGCTAAGAGTTGGTCAGCAAGGGCCACGTGCCACTCTAAAATTTTAGGCAGTAAATTATTTTAAGTAACCTTTAGAGTTTACTGGTCATTTCAAAAATGTTTATAAGACTTTTAAAAGTGTTAGTTTTAGTAAATTATGTATTTGTACGATGACATGTTATATTATATTTTAACAAAAAAATATTTTAAATTGGATCACCCTAGCTTAAAATCATGGCTATGCCACTGATTCCAACGAGCGTGGGACACGGCTGCCGTCTCGCACACGCTCTTGCCTCC